ATTAGAAAAAAACTATAAAAAAATATCGTTTCCAAAAAACTGTGAACGGATCCGTCAGTATTTTTGTTTTACAAAAGTATCTTGCTGGATTCTGTCTTTAAACTTTTACGAACACAAGTATTAGGCACAAGTATAACTCGAAATATTGCTGGTTTTAGCATCGTTGAAACTGAGTCAGAGCTTTAAAAAGGTATCATTAAACTTTATGACCGTGACACTGAAAACAAAATCCGAGTTTAAAAGAGCATCAAATACGGATGTTTTTTGGGCGTATCTGATTTCCATTTGAAAAAAAAGGTAGGACCACAATAAAAAACAGGAGAAAAATCGTAATAAGCTACAATGAAAAAGCTACGCTTGCCCCGCTTGGCTTAAATACGGCACGAGAAGAATACTGCTTGTTAATCAGTGTTTCTCGCATAATCTACTGTTTCAAATTGTCGCCTTATACGAATTGTTGTCTCAAAAAACAACAAAATCAAAAGTTCAAGGGATCGGTTTTCTTATTTCGGTCGTATCCATAAGTGACGGTTATTTTTAAATCAAGTTTGAAGTATTTCAAAGAAAGTTAACATCAATTTCGTTTCAATTTTAATTCGTTTTGGAGTTTTTGTTATTCAATGTTTGTGGCGACACAATTTTATGTGCTACTAGCATCGCAACCGGCTGTTTTTGTTTAATTTATGCTTAATTGTTTAATAGTGTTTTTAAAATTTAATAATTATTAGGTAGGTTTGGAGATGTTGTGAAATGGATTGTTGGCCATTTATACATTGCAATTGTAAAAATTATAAATGGCTGCTTCTCTAAATAAAGACCTATTCTTGAATAAATAAGTGTCTGCGAATAGCATAAAGTCAGACTAGTTGTTTTCGACAATGTAATGATTTTTTTAATTGTCCAGAATTCAAATTTTGACTGAAAATTTTTTAGCAAAAAACTACGCTCGGTTACATACGAGCGTTCTTTGAGATATCTGGTTTTGCTTAAAAAAACGCACACTCTTCTTTCTATCCGCTAAAGTTTCGTCCCAACCCTACAGGGCTGGTCGGGTCAAAATTGTAATGTAAATGTTTGTAGAGTACGGTCCCACTCTTGAGAGCCAGATGGTCCAGTTCAATGACCCAGAGTTCATTGATGAAGGCACCAAATCCTTCGACATCGAGTCCCTCCTCACAAGTATTGCAGCCACCTACTCCGAACTAGTCAAGGTCAGTCAGTAAATCGATTTTTTTTCATCCATTAAACTTCCATTGCGCTTCCCTTCTCCAGTTAGAGGGCAAAACCTATAGTCAGTAGCAATTGTTTTTACTGCAAAACCTTGATAGAATCATTCAAAATGTTTTTAAAATATGCATCGGATTTTAAAGATTTTTTTCAAAATTTCTGCGCAATTTTGCAAGATAACCTGCAAGATAATTGATTCGGTTTGCCTAGAATGACATCATTGAGAAATAAAACAGATCAATGTGATCAATGTAATTTTTGGGCCAGACATACCGATTTATATATAATTCAAATGAGTATTACTAACTTGGGACGTTTCAAGCAAAACATTAATATTCGAATTACTCAGTTGAGTCTATACTCACAGGTTTTCAAGATCATTGAAACACGACATTTTTAACTAGACTCGTGGATAGAAGATGGTAGAAATTATAACTCTCTCCCTTCTCCTCAGTTCAATTATACAATAAAAAATGCACCCCTCCACCCCTGTAATTTCTCCTACAAACTGCAGTTTGAGTCTGTGTCTCTGCAGATCTGCAGATGGAAGGGTGGGGACTGTTTGAAGAGTGAGTTGTGGGGTCTCATCTCTACCAAGAACTCCGTCTGTCTCCAGTTCTCCCCACCCGACAGAGAAGTCACACTCACCACTGAACGACTCCAATTCGTGTTCGGTAGGTTACAGACTTCCGGCTCTTTTAATTTGAAGAACCTCCCCCTTCCCCAGTTGTGTTTTAAATCATAGGTACAGATACTCAGTATATAGAAAGCAGCTAGCATGCTTCAGAAAAGAACGGGCAGAAAAGCTAAAAATAGATTGACTAGGTTAAAATGCCATGATCACTAATTTTGAAAGAAGGCGCCAATAAATTCTAGTTTTTGAAATTTTTCATTGCACACTTGTATGCATTAAAATAACCGTCTTTTTTTTCAGTCACAAGTAAAACCGCTTAATTTAATTCGGAGGGAACCGACTGCACTTTTTTGTTCGATCCTATTAAGTCAGAGTGGTCTTTTTTATTTAGACTTCGAGGCAGACGAGGGTGTTGGAGTGATGGACGTGGGAGGGGGTCTGCACTTCCAGATCTACCTGTACGACCCAAAAGAGACAGTGCTCACCACCTGGGACAAGAGCTACTCGTTCGACATTGGGCCTCGGAGGAGCTACAAGGTTGGCATGGGCACACGCAAGTTCAGCGACAGGAGTGGGAAGAGCAATTGCATCGAGGAGGGAAAGATGGAGTGAGAACGACAGATGTCAAAAAAAAACAATAAAAAAGCGAAACACAGCAAAAGTGCACCTGACTGCTCTGCACTAAGTTTTTGAATGTACTGACAAGGGGTTGATCTAGGATTTTCTCGCAACTTTTCCATAAAATTTGTGCACTTTTTTAATGTCGCCAAAATGTTTTTCCAAAGTATAACCAATTATAAAACCATTTTTTGCCACAACTTTCTGAGCCGCACGCGAATTCAAAAAATAAGACAAAAGCAGTTTCTGGGCACTTTTTCAAACATTTCGATTAAAAAACTGTTTTCTTTTTCAGTTTTTTTGGAGCGCGCTCGTACCTCGAAATTAGTATTTATTACCGCCAAGCTGAAGCTGGCGGTCAAAAATGGATGTTGTGAACTAAAAGGGGGGTGACCCCGAACTCCAGTGGTGCAAATTTGTTTCAGTGTACTGAAGTACTACGAGAGGGGCTATGCGCACTTCCTGTGTGTGAGTGAGTGCTACACTGAGATGGAGAACAGTACATGTGGCTGCATCACCCTCACCCAATACTTCTTCCCCCCTAAATACACTCTGGAGTGTGGACCAGTAGTACTCACAATGTGTCCCCTCGACAGGGCACATGCACTACGTAAGTCCGCCCAGCCTATTTCCTGCCACCTGCCCCCCCCCCCCCCCAAAGGGTAAAGGTACCTATGATGTGCAAGGTACCTAGTCGACCAGAACCAATTAAAACAAGGATAACCGGTTACTGTGCAAGTAGCACCGAATGTTCCGACCATAGTCTCTAAAAAACTACGGTTTATAATGTTTTTTTTTCTTCAAATTAGTGTAGTTTTTTCTACTTGGTGTGAAAAAAAGATCTGACGTACTAATAAAATTTAGGCATATTAGACAGTCATAGTAACATAGGCAAATTGGACAAAAAAATTTTGTAAAAAAATTACTAGAAAAACTCAAAAAAATGAAGCAAAATGTTCCCAAAATGAAGCTAAACAACTCGAAGGGATAGTTTTATTTGCTGAAAATTAAGCTTTAAGGCCTTAATTTAGGCATAATTCAGCTGTTGTAAGCCTGCAATCGCTTGCTTTATTCGCTCGAATTAAGACGAAAAATCAAAAACTTTAAACCGGTTTATCTCGACACTAGAAAAAAAAATTTGGGAATTTTTTAATAAGGTTCAAAACACTAATACGATTTATCAATCTACCCAGTCCGATCATTATTTGTGGTACCTGATTTTGCGTGGAAAAAAAAAGAAAAAAAACTAAAACACCCGGATACAAAGTTCCTCCCGATTTATAATGGTCGGAACAAATATGCAAAAGAAACATGCAATCTAAGTTTTCAGTCTTTCAGTATAGACGTCTTACCGGGCAAGTAAAATTTGATTTTGTGCAAGTAGCACGGAATGTTCCGACCATAGTCTTTAAGAAACTACGGTTTATAATGTTTTTTTTTCTTCAAATTAGTGTAGTTTTTTCTACTTGGTGTGAAAAAAAGATCTGACGTACTAATAAAATTTAGGCATATTAGACAGTCATAGTAACATAGGCAAATTGGACAAAAAAATTTTGTAAAAAAATTACTAGAAAAACTCAAAAAAATGAAGCAAAATGTTCCCAAAATGAAGCTAAACAACTCGAAGGGATAGTTTTATTTGCTGAAAATTAAGCTTTAAGGCCTTAATTTAGGCATAATTCAGCTGTTGTGAGCCTGCAATCGCTTGCTTTATTCGCTCGAATTAAGACGAAAAATCAAAAACTTTAAACCGGTTTATCTCGACACTAGAAAAAAAATTTGGGAATTTTTCAATAAGGTTCAAAACACGAATACGATTTATCAATCTACCCAGTCCGATGATTATTTGTGGTACCTGATTTTGCGTGGAAAAAAAAAGAAAAAAAACTAAAACACCCGGATACAAAGTTCCTCCCGATTTATAATGGTCGGAACAAATATGCAAAAGAAACATGCAATCTAAGTTTTCAGTCTTTCAGTATAGACGTCTTACCGGGCAAGTAAAATTTGATTGAAGTTTTTGATAGGTAAAATCCCGAAACAGGTCAATTATTTCTATCCTCCAGTACCCTATACTTGCGCATTCTAAGTACTTTGCTACTCTATTCTTAATGAGCGTAAATTTTTTCTTAAATGACAACTTCCTGTTTGGAATTGCAATTATCCTGTTTGCAACTTCCTTTTCAGAAAACTAGAAAAAATGACGCATAATCAAAAGAAGTTTTGGAATAGACATGTTTTTTTGCATCTTCAGAGAAAACTGATGAAAAGAAGTAATATAACTTCTACTGCTTTAAATAAAAAATTAAGAAAAAAAATTGCTCTAAAATATTCGGGCACTAATTGCCCTAAAAATGGTTGTTCAGAGCGGCAAAAATCATCACGCTGCTAATAACATAAGGCTGTATGATTTCATTGACCTTAATAATGCTAAAAATATGACAAGAGGGCGTCTAAGATATTCTTTTCAGAACACTGCCAGTCCAAATGCAGACCCCAATGCAGTTTCACCAAGTACGACCTGGACATCACCTCAACCCACTTCCCAAATCCAGGGTTCAAACAACTCGCACGTGCAATCCTCAAGGAGCAAAACGTATCCGACGAATACATGGACAAAAACTACGCAGGTATTCCCCCGAATCATGTAGGAAAATGAAACAAATTTTACGCCATAAATCTAATCAAGGCAGTAGCAAGTTTAGGGGGTGGTGTGCGGACGCCTTATCCTCCTCATGGGTTCGACCCTCTGTGGACCCAAAGGGTCCCCCTTTGTACTAGTTTGAGATATTTATTTTTGGCTGGCTGACTGACCCTTAAATATTTTTACGCAATTTTGAGGCGGAAGCGCGCGCCAAAAAACGCAATTTTTTGGTCACAATTTTCTAAAAAAGCCTAAAAATGCTTTTTTGCAGTCAAAACGCGGTTTTATAAAGATTTGGTAGAGCTCAGAAAATCAATTTGATCCACCTAAAAAAATGGTCGACAAAAATTTCCAACTTTTTCTTAAACAGTTCTGCCCCTGAATCAAGGTCAAGTTGAAAAACTTTCAATTATCTGCAGGGGCGGATCTAGGATTTTCTCGAGGGGGGGGCGGATTTTCAAAAAATTTTCGAAAATTTTGACGACCTTTTTTTTTTTTTTTAGGTCGATCAGATTGATTTTCCGAACTCTCCCAAAGCAATAAAAAGACCCTGTTTTGGCCAAATTTTCTGCGCCGCAGGCAATTTTTTGAAAAACCAGGTCAAAAAAGCCGTTTTTGGGCACTTTTTGGAAAATTTTGACAAAAAAATCGCGTTTTTTTGGCGCGCGCTCCCCCTCAAAATAAGTATATATTGGCGCCGAAGGCGCCTTTAGAAAAATTTTAGGGTCGGTCGGCCAAAAATGGATTTCTTAAAAAGTACCAAAGGGGGGACCCTTTGGGTTGGCAGGGGGTCGAATCCCTGAGGGGGGGGGGGGGGGGGCGTCCACCCCCCCGCCCCCCCCGCCCCCCCCCCTAAATCCGCCCCTGATTATCTGTCTCCATATAAAATTATCTAGAAACTCTGAGGACATGATTTGATTTTTTTTTTCGTAATTTCAACGATCAGTTTTGACAATTTTTTTAGAGAATAGGAATGACAAAATTTTTCAAAAAAAAACTGCTATAAAGTTACAAATAAAATTGATTGAAAAAATAGCTTCAAAAATCTTATCTAAAATTGAACACAAGTAGCTATGACAATATAATAAACTGAAAGTCTTCGCAACTGGTTACAGTTCTAATCGGTTCCTTTTTGAATGATGTCATTTTTATATTTACAGAATTGGACATAGGCATGGCCTCATTCTCAATCATGCACACAATTGTCTACCCGAAGTATGAACTGTTCTCCGCCAGCAGTGCCATAGGGGGGCTAATCGGACTCCTTCTAGGTATACACGATATTGATACAACAATCATTTATAGCTTAGGGGGAAGGGTTGTTTGTATAGTACGAACACTTGTTGTCAGATTTTGAACTCGAAGGGTGTTTTTAGGTGTTTTTGAAGGGTGTTTTTAGAAGGAATGATATTGGGGAATAAAGTTTGTTTTTGAAATTTCAGAAAAATCAAGCAAAAACACACTCTAAGAAACGTTTTTTTTTTCTCAAGTACTTCTATCGAAAAAAAAAGATTATTTTTTAATATTATCGATAATTGGAAATATGTTTTATTAACAACTACCTGCCTTAGTTCTACTATATAGTTAGCGTACACCGGTAGCATTGTGAGCCCAATAATCAAACCTTAGTAGTCAAATTTATTTCGCAAAAAAGTATACAAAAAGGAGTAAAAAATAACCTTGTTTTGGCGAAAGTTCTTCAGAAAAAACTCTGTACACGTGCATTTTCCTTAACGTTTCTGAAGTTTCATATAGATTTTTATCCCTCAAAATCGACGACAACTATTCGCTCTACAGTAGCATAAAAATCCCCCCCCCCCCCCCCCCCCCCAAAAAAAAACCCAGAGTAAATATAAAATCACACAGTTGAATCCAGAGTATATTTTTTCTAGGGGGAAGTGCAGTTACTCTGGTTGAGTTGGTCGATTTCATGGTGACGATGGCGGAAGAACTGAGAGTGGCTTTGATGCTGGTACGGCCTAGAAATAATCGAGTAGCAGCTGACACTTAGTCGTTCCAGATACACGATTTCAAAATTTCAAACTGAGGTGCCTTCCCAGTATCTCAATTTAATCAAGCAAATAAATTGGACTCAAATAGAAATATAATTACCAAAAAATCTCGCTGAAGGAAAACAATCGAGACCATGGGCACGTTCTGCTCAGGGCAAATTTAGGGGGGGGGGAGCGGGGGGCTGTAAGCTTTTTCACTTTCAGGGATTCGACCCCCTCACCTGCCGAAAACTAAACTTTTCCTAAGGGCGCCTTTGGCGCCAATATATACTAAATTTTCCTGCGTTGTAGAAAATTTTGTCAAAGTAGTGTATGTCTTTTGTTCTAGAAGCAATTGGAAAATGAACAGGGTCAACGGTCAACTTTGAAAAAAGGTCAACAAAATCATCGAAAATTTTTGAAAATAAAAAACGCCACGCACCAACACCCATCCCCCCCCCGCCCCCACCTTGAGAAAATCCTATATCCACCCCTGGTTCTATTTATTTTTCGCCCAAACATTGATAGTGAAAACTGCAGCTAGTTGAAAATTGATTCATGTTATGTTCTGTTCCTTATTTAGAAGATACTCCCTAACCATTTAGATTGTGTTTGCTAATTCTAATTGAGTATTTTTTCATTTTTTTGTTTTTAGGACTGTCTTGTGTCGAAAATGATTTTGCCGTGGTAAATTATTATAGTGATCTTCAAAAAAAGTTCATCCAAAGGAATGCAGTTTTTGATTAAAGTTTTGCTAGATTCTTACAAGATCTTACAAGATTAGGAATTTGAACTTCATCAACAAAGCAACCGTGTTAAGCTTTGGACTGATATATGCTGGATAACCATTTAAGGGTATCCAAAAAGCATACTCTTAGAACGATTTGTTTCAATCGCAAAGTTGATCATGCTTTATATCTTGCATGCATATTAAATAGATACTGTTTTCGATTTTTACATCAGACAAAAGTTTTTTGAAACTCTAAAGCAGCTTAGACAAAAAAGCCTTAAAACTTTCAATTTGGATACTCTGAAAAAGTGACCTATTACTCGAAATTCTACAGCCAATTCTTTGCCTAACATAAAAAAGAACACAAATAATGCAGCAGTCATGGAAAAACTTTTCAATTAAATGCTACAGTTTTTTGCTAATAAACGATATGGTACCAGATGATTTGATACAAGTAACTGAGCATCACTTACAGCATTATTTAAAAACCATGTATTCACTATATCTTAAGGATAACACCAATTTAATAGATTTGTCTTTTTATTAATCGCGCGTTTCAGGTCCGATATTATTTCGCAACTTCTGTCTTGGGTTTTTCAGGGCCTTATAAATTGCATAGCTTTTTGCACGATCCTTGATGAGTTTTTCTGTACAAGCAGTGTCATTAACTTTGTATATGTGTATAACTCTCTCCTAAATATTTTTTTCTCTATGCAAAAAGTAAACGAGTTTGGATTAGTCGGTTAGGACGAGGGAGGCAAATGACCCAAAACGTACACATTCAAAAGACAATTTTGTAAGCAAATAGATGTATTATGCGACACTTGCGATACAGCACAAAAGTTTTTAAAAAAAGAAAAAAAAAGAAAAAAAGAAAAGGTTGAAAAAGAACCAAAATTCTTGTATGTCTCAATAAAGATAACTAGGGACCTATCAAAAGCTGGAGGTAGGTGTTTTTATAACTTTGTTATACTGATGTCTAAAAAATTAACTCTGCCCAAAACCATAGCTGTTTCTCTACTAAAATAAAAGAGAAGGACGAAAAACGGCCAATGAACCAAATTTTTTTCCCGCGAATTATCGCGTTAACTGTGGAAAAGGTTTGGGCTTTGCCGTTTAAACAGAAAAAGTTCGACCAACCTGCTATTTCGATTGAAAGCAAAAACTCAGATTACAGAGGAGTAATCGCAAAAAGTCAACTAGTTTCAAAAAACAGTATAAAAAGCAATAATTGTCTTTTCCGAGGGCCCAAACTTTTGTGTTAGAAACGACTGGGCTCAGTTAATTATGCAGAGGCGCTTTCCACATCAAGTTTTTTTGATTGAAGCCAAACACTCAGATTTGGGAATGTAGTTTTTGAGAAAAACAAATCAAAAGTGGCCAAAAAGCAAAACTTTTGACTTTTCCGTGGGCCATAAAACTTTTTGTATAAAGATTTGGTCGTAGCAACTTATGCAAGGAACTTTTCCGTAAACCGTTCTTTGGATTGAAATAAATACTTAAGATTAGTTTTTGAGAAAAGTCATAAAGAGTAAAAAAGGTTCAAAAAATCAAATCTTTGTTCATTCCGATGGACCTACCTTTTGAGGAAAAACAATTGGGTATAGTTGATCATGCAAGGACACTTCCCACAATCAGCTGCTTTGATTGAACCTTAAAAGCTCACCTTCTATTTGAATTTTTTTTATAAGAGCTATTTAGAAAAATTATCAAAAAAGTTATTACATCCGGCAGGTAAGCTGACAAAAATTGGGACAAAATCAACGAATCCGACAAAAAAACAATTAAACTCTGAGAAAAAATTCTCAGCATTAAAAATTGCACCCAGGATATAAGCATGTCAGCAGGAATGAATATGAGACATGATCATTTCAGTAATTGACTCAATTGATTTTGTTAATCTTGTTGTTAACACGAAAAAAGTCTGCATTCCGATTGCATTCCGTTCTCTATACATTGCAATTATCTCGTGTATGTGATAATAATGACTCATTTGTTTCACTACTCTTAAACAGTTAAACCAATTGGTCAAATTTTTGCATAGACATAGATATAATTTGTCACTAAGCACTGAAATTGAAATGATTGTTGACTTTCAACAAAGTACACTTTGTTAAAGATGGAATCATTTTTGTGCATCATGATGATCAGAGACTTAAAAAAAAGCACCAAGCATCAATCAGCAATCAATCAGCAATCAAGTATCATAAGACAGTTTTTTTTGGAAAGAAACTCGTTCAAACTCTAAAATTTTGAGCAAACTGAATTTCGACCAAAAAATATGCATATATCCAAAAAAATCCAAGATTTCAAAAGAAGTCAGCTTCTTATAATCGATTTTGGTATATGGTTGTAGAACCAAGAAAATAAACACAGAAGAGGCGGAAAATTATAAAACGCGTTTTTTCGCATATATGCAGGATATCTTTTTGAAATTGCCAGGCAAAAATATCTTAACATTACGAGACCAAACAATATATTTTGTGAATTGTAAGCGGATTCATCAAATAGGCAAAAATCAGATTTGTTGAGGAATCCGCAACATTGCTAATTTTCTTTGCTGTTTTGGATTCCACGGACAAATAGCTGAGACACTGTATTGCTCAAAATCGCTCCAGAAATAGGCAACTTTGCGGAATCCGGAACAAAATGTGTGGAATCCGGAATCAGTTCGTGGAATCCATGAACAAATAATAAAATGTGTTTGGTAAACTTAGGCTGTCGCGGAATCCGCAACTGTAAGTGGAATACGCAAACTGTGAGCGGAATCTGCAAATTGTAGGCTTAATCCGCAAATTGTAGGCAAAATCCGCATAAATTTGAGGAATCCACTTATATTTGCGGAATCTGCTTACACTTGCGGAATCCAAAACAACTATCTATATTCGCTCGTTGCGGAATCAGCAAAAAAACCAATGTGCCAAAAGTTTATGTTACAGGTATTTGTACGCGGAATCCACTGAAATCTTGTCAGTGGAATCCACTTACATTTTGGAACATGTTTAAAGACCTGTCTCTGGAATCCAGGAACATAGAGACACAAAATTGTTCGCCTATCCAGTGCACAGTTTGGCCTCGTAATTCAGTCATAAGATAAACTACATCATCACCAATATTAATTTTGCAAAATCGAAAACTCCAAAACATAACGCCGAAAAATTCTGATCCAGTTTTTAAAAATGTTTGGAATCACGAGAGAAGACACATCGCATTTGTATTTCAATTGCGGTAAATTGAAAGAAAAAATGACAAAGCTGAAATAGCAAGATCCCACACCAAAAAAAATAAGTTGGGTAACAATGGAACACTTTTCTCGCAAATTTTTTCCAAGCTCATAAAAAATTCCAAAAAAAACTATTTAAGTGTTAATTTGTGCATTTGGATGTCAATATTTGGCCCAAGAGTCCAATTTTTGGTCCAAATTTCAATACAAAAATTCCAAACAAATGGTGCCAAAAATTTTTTGTGGATAAAACAAATTGTGTGGATAAAATAAAAGCTACATACCACCTATAAGAAGGTTGAAAAAACTGTGAGAAGGGTGTTTCCATATCACAGAGTCATTTCATTGATTGTTTGATCCATGAAATTTGATTTTTCAAATATATGTAGAACACAAAGTTTCAGTTCAAGACTTCACAAATTACAATTGTTGACAGGGAATAATTGAGAAAAATTTGATTGCTTAAATCTATTTACAAAAGTTGAAGCCTTAAAGAACAAATTTATTGGTCAAATGTTCAAATATTGGTACCATTTTCCGAAATATGTTTTGACTACTTTTCATCAATTATAAAATTTAAATATTACCAACTAAATTTTTTTTTTCATTTATCTGCAAAAAGCTAAAATTGATTGAAGTTGTTAATGTGCTGTCTTTTTGATGTCTGAATTGAAAATACCAAGTTTGCTTAATAGCTGTTTTGAGATTTTTCATCGAAATTCTATTTTTTGTTTTGGTCCAATTTAAAGACCTCTAAGTTATTTTTGCAACCTGTTTTTGCGTAAAAACATAAAAATTCAACACTAAATGAATGCTGGGTCAAACACGTACCAGTTTTTTTTATTTACTTTAAAAAAACATTTACACATTCTCCCTCGTTCTTAATCATGTTTTGTTCTTTTGCAAATATTATTGGAAATGATATTTCAATTGCCAAGAAAGTCTCATGTAATTGCACCAGCGTTTATTTGACAGTTTTTTTGTATAAAAAGTTGCGATTATATAGTAGCTGTAAATAAAAAAACAGTCGATGTTG